AAGACAGCCAGCAGCCGGCTGGGGAGTGCTCCCCTGTCACTCACCCTGGGGAAGACAGCCAGCAGCCGGCTGGGGACTGCTCCCCTGTCACTCACTCGGCTTTTCTATTCTTTCATTAGATCTTTGAAGACTATGAGAAATTGCTTCAGTCTGAGAACTATGTGACTAAGAGACAATCTTTAAAGGTAACATTACATTTCTTTAGAGTTCCCATAGTTGATGTCTTGTTAGCAAATGATTGGTCTATTGGTGGCTGAGTAAATACAGAAAAATTAAAATGTCACCCTTTTTTAATAACTTGTGAAGTTTTATGTTATGACCATACTTGATAACAAAATAACACAAGTGTCCTGCCTCAAATACTTTGGGGAGTGACAATATAAATGGTAAGTATGTGACAGTACAATTTATAATATTTCTACTAAGAGAGAAAACCAAACCTAACCTAACAAATAGAATCACAATTCTCTCCTTGGGGATATTTTATGGAGATGAAAAGATGTAGAGTACAACACAGCTGAAAATTATTGTTTATAAGGAGGAACCAGTGAGGCTCCTGTAATTCTTTGTCGGTATATCTTGAAATAGAATAGGCAGAAAGAAATGATTTTATGTTCTTACATGTACCTCTGTTACTAGACTTGTGGAGGAGGCATATTTTGCAGAGAAAGGGGAGAGGTCACCTGGCAAGAAGATCATATGACACATGAAATAACAAAGATTAAATTTTCCCTTGAAGTTGTAACTACAATAACTGATAAATTCATAATATCTTTGAGTATGAAAACAACATTTTACTAGAAAATGATATTGTTATAGGTTGAACCTTATGGGTCTTCTGTTTTATGGGAAGCATTTACCTCCCAGACCTGTAACATATTTTCCTAAAGAATTTTTTGTTACCATATTTCTTTGCCAGGCCCTGTTCTCCAAGCACCCTGGTTAGTCATTGTCTCCCTAGAGGTTGTTTTAAATACTTCTACCACTTAACATGATGTGTTCAAATTATATTTACAGTAAAGATTCTGAAATATGAAACATGATCAGTCCCTAAGAATCTAAAGAATGTTTTTAGAAAGCAATGCAACAGATGGGTAGTAGAGAAGACCACATGATTGAGCACACCAAACTTTGCTTTTCTGAACGCTGCCAGTGTTATGCAGAAACTAAATCTGGAAAGAGGTTAAAAGATGATGTAACCAGTGGGGAAGGAACATAAAGTAACTCCTGATTACCCAGAAGTAGCTTAGTTGGATGAATTTTTGGGAAGGAGGTGTGAGAGTTGGCACATTCCATTTAGTCAACAAACACGCTCCTGTTCCAGACACATGGTGACAGCCAGGGGCAGCTAGAGCTCACGTTCTGTTGAGGGAGAACAGACAATAGACAAATGGGCAAATAAATACATAATTTTCATGTGGTTTTAAGTCCTGACAAGAAAAGTTGAGCAGGGCGAAGGAGCAGAAGGCTACAGGGTGTAGGCAGAGCAGCCGAGTATCAGTGAGGCCTCTCCTCTGGGTCCTCTTTGAGCACAGGCCTAAGTTTGTGAAAAATTAAAATGACTCTGGATAAGAGCGTGAAAGTGTGTGTTATTTGGGATTCTGTCTCCTGTGAGAAATGCCCGTGGATGTGACACTGAGCCAATAGAGCAGGCCACATGTATCTGTGAGTGGCCCGCCCTCCCCTGGGGTAAGATCCCGGAAAAGGCCACTTGCCCAGGGAAGGTAGGAGAGTCTGTAAGGTGAGCGTGGGCTAGGGCTGCATCCTGCCCTTCAGATCCCACTTGGCTATACCAAAGAATGTTTTGGCAAATAATAAGATTGGCTGTTTTTATTAGAACAAAGAATTTGTATGATACTCCAGCTTGCTAACTATCACACATGTGTTATCTTTATATATCTGAATGCTGGCATTTGTAGGACAATGCGTTTTGCTTCTAAATAGTGGATGTAATTTTAAGCTAAGGCAATAAATTCAGTCCATTTTATACCACATTTTTGTCAATTTTTATTGCCCATGAGCTCCCAGTAGCCTCAACCAGCTTTCCCTGGTGTTTGTGCCATCACTGCACATCAGTGGAGCAGCCAGTTTCCAGCCAGTCACTCAACACTCATAGAAACTTAGAGGGAAGCCCCTGTGGGCTATTGTCAGTGTAGGAGCTTGTAGTCACAAGACAAGCTGTGCCTGGAACTGACCTCCAGGCAGAGCGCTGCTGACCCCAGTGCTGTGTTCCCCCACATGCAGACAGGTCGCTAAGGGCAGATGAAGAAAAGGCATATCTCACTGCCGTAGCCACATACCTCAAGAGCAGAATATTTTGTTTGTGAAGGGCTCCACAAAGATAGCCAAAATGAGGGGAGCGTGCCCATGAAGAAACAGTAGCCCCAGAAGGAAGGTCACAGTGCTCTGAAGGGTCAGGGTATGAGGTCTGACAATTAAGTTTACAAACTCGTAGCAGAAAAAGTGCTACACACCTAACTGCTGAACATCACTGTGGTCACCTCCAAAGTGCCCCCCAGGGAAGCTGTGCTCTGACACCAGCGCCTCCTCCACCCCGAAACCAATTTTGGAACTCTTTTTCTGAAACGGTCATCAAAGCTGTCGTCATTTTATCCTTGAAGTTCTGAATGTCATCAACATGTCCTTCAATATTTCCTTTATCTTTGGATAAAGAAAAAAGTCAGAGAGGGGCCAGGTCAGGTGAGTAGGAAGCGTGTTCCAATGGAGTTATTTGTTTACTGGCTAAAAACTTTCTCACAGACAGTGCTGTGTGAGCTGGTGCATTGTCGTGATGTAAGCACCATGAGTTGTTGCTGAAAAGTTCGGGTCATTTTCACCTTTTTCATGCAGCCTTTTCAACACTTCCAAATAGCAAACTTGGTTAACTGTTCAGTTGGTACAAATTCATAATGAACAGTCCCTCTAATGTCAAATTTTGACTCTCAGTTTGGACTGACAGAAATTTTTTGGTTGTGGTGAATTGGCTGACTTCCAATGTGCACCTTGACACTTTGTGTCAGGGCCATGTTGAAGCACCCATCTTCCATCACCAGTGATGACGCCCCAAACCGTCCCTCCTCCACAAGAGGTCTTAGCAAAGGAGCTGTTTGAACTCTCCTTTGCTTTTGCTCATCAGTGAACTCTTGAGGGGCCATTTTTGCACACCACTTTCTCATGCTGTGATTTTCATTTAAGATTTTCTTAAGTGTTTCTCTATCAATGTTTGCTTGGTCTGCTGTGCTTCTCACAGTCAGCTGACAATTTTAACACACAATTTGATACATTTTTGCAAGTTTTTTGTCAGTTCTCCTTGCTACTGCCTGCCCATTCCTCTCTCCATCAATGATGCTTTCTCTCCCCTTGGAAAAACATTAAAAAAAAAAATAGTCTCACTTTGTCACCCTCAGTAGAGTGCCATGGTGTCATAGTTCACAGCAACCACAAACTCTTGGGATCAAGCTATTCTCTTGCCTTAGCCTCCAGAGTAGCTGGGACACAGGCACCTGTCACAATGCCTGGTTATTTATTTATTTATTTATTTATTTTTAGAGACAGTGTCTTGCTCTTGCTCAGGCTGGTCTTGAACCTGTGAGCTCCTGCAGTCCACATGCCTTGGCCTCTCAGAGTGCTAGATTACAGGTGTCAGCCACCACCCCTGGCCTCAGAAAAGCATTTAATCCATTTGTACACTGTTGTTTTCTTTATGGCATTATCCCCATAAACTTGGACTACATGTCCCTGATTTCACTTCCACTCGTCAAGTTCAACAGGTAATTCAACGTTTGCTCTAATTCAAGCTCCAACATTCTCGTGATGGCACATGAAAACAAGCAACAGTGATGAAACCTCAGCAGTACACGCCCAGGTCACCACACACATCTGTGAGATGCTGATATACGAAGGTTCTAAAGCCTTACCAAGCTGTCTGTACAGCGCAGCCAACCTAAGTGCATGGAGACAAGTTCGGGAAATTCTCAGACCTCTTGTAGGAAATTTCTCATGAATTTTCCAAGTCTTTCCTCTTTTCCTTTTCTTTTTTTCTTTTCTTTTCTTTTCTTTTTTTTAGACAGAGTCTCACTATGTCGCCTTTGGTAGGGTGCTGTGGTGTCACAGCTCAGAGCAACTTGTAACTCTTGGGCTTAAGCAATTCTCTTGCCTCAGCCTCCCAAGGAGCTGGGACTACAGGCACTGACATAATGCCTGGCTATTTTCTGGTTATAGTTGGTTGTTGTTTGGCAGGCCCAGGCTGGATTCAAACCCACCAGCCTTGGTGTATGTGGCTGTCACCATAACTACTGTGCTATAGGCACCAAGACCTCTTTTCCTCTTTTCCGTGGGAGTCTGTCAGATACTGGCCCAAAGTAGAGAGGTTTGTATGAACTGAGGTGACTAAACCAAATTAGAAGGAAGAAAACTGAAGGGGGCTCAGTGCCTGTGGCTCAAGTGGCTAAGGCGCCAGCCACATACACCTGAGCTGGCAGGCTCGAATCCAGCCTGGGCCCACCAAACAACAATGATGGCTGCAACCAAACAATAGCCGGGCATTGTGGTGGGCACCTGTAGTTCCAGCTACATGGGAGGCGGAGGCAGGAGTTGAGCCCAGGAGTTGGAGGTTGTTGTGAGCTGTGATGCCATGGCACTCTACCCAGGGTGACAACTTGAGGCTCTGTCTCAGGAAAAAAAAAAAAAGAAAGAAAGCTGAAGGGAATAGTCTTCAGAATTACTCCTTGTACCATTTTCAACCAATGATGAGGAGTTGAGGACAAACATCTTCCTCTGGCTCTCTCCCTGCTTTTTCTTCCTTACTGGCCTGCCATCACCACCACCCACCCTCTGCCTACATTGTCTGCTCAGGGCTCAGGGTGGCTTCAGCCTCACCTGTCCAGTCCCCCCATTAACCGTTGTGAAGTGGTCACATCAGGGAGGGGGTTGTGGTGAGAACTACTAACATTTGTTAACTAAATCAAACTAAGTTACATAAATATTCCTAATTACTATCTCCAGAATTCATTACCTCCAGAGTTCCCTCTTTGATAGAGATTCATCTATTCTAAATAAATGAACAGGACTCTGGTGTGTTTAGGGCTTATTCCACTGGGATGCATTTGCATTTGAAAATGCAAGTCTGTCATTCCAGTGAATTTGATGGTACAGTATTGAATGCAGATTTGAGGGGGAGCACAGGAGAGTGAGAAGGCCTCCTTCCTCCCCACCATGCAGCCTCCCATCCCTTCACACACGGTTCTCCAGCTACAGACCTCAGGGCTTTTCCCAGTAATGTGGGCAAAGAGCAGACCACATTTTTATCTGGTACAGGAGCTCTCCTTTAAATTCCCCTACCAACTTGTTTCCTACCCTTTTGCGGACACTCCAGTCTAATTGTGAGGCATCTTCCTGTCCTGGCAGCCTAAAATCCCTTATAGTTAGGTGGCACACAGATATTTTATATACAACATTGTACAGCCAAGCAGTGGTTGGACAATGAAAAAAACACCTGACAAAAGACACATAAATTAGTATACCTAAGACTGCAGAAGGTGTTGGAATGGCTACTGAAGAGTTGGCTGTTCTAAATGGTAGCTTCTAGGCAGATACATTGCTAAATGGTCTTGTATTCCGTTCAAGTAAGCAGAATGGTAGACGACTGTGAAATGGATTCATATATAAACACTGAGTTCATTAAATTTTGTTTTTGTTTTTTGGTAGAAAACTGTTCTGTGGAGCTTCACTGATGCCATTTTGCATTTTTCTTTTGGGAATTAGATCTATGGTAGCAGAACTCATTTTGTGTTTTGACACAACCACATGTGTGTATATATGGATTCTGTAATTTCTTTCATAGATGTTTTATAATTGTAGGAAACAAGAGAGGGTAGATTATTATCATAGTAAGCAAGTTTGTAAGTAATAAACTTTCTTAAGTCCCAGGGTATTTTCTGATTTCAAACCAGTTGCTACCTGCTGCCGTTTGTTAATCATGTTCTGAATTTTCTGGAACCATCTTAGGGTGCTTAGTTCCTGATGTCAATAAAAAATAATTAACAGAGAAATTCCTTTCCTTCATGTGACAGAGCTTAGGAATTTATTTTTTATCTTTTTCAGAGGCATGGCATTCAATTACCAACAAGAAAGATTATAATTCAAAAGCAGCTTGGTAGAATTTTTGTTTTTCAGGGTTTTTTTTTGGGTGGGGGGCCTTGGGTCAATTCCATCAAAACACTAAGTTTTTAAAAAACTTATTTCCACTTGATACATAGTTTCACTATGTACTATGAGGCATGTAAAGTAAAACATACAATGATTTTTCCCATTTACTTAGTATTGCTTTATGGTGTTTTGTATTATTATGGAATACAGCATTTTGTCATTATCAATATTAATTTAAAAAGACTAACATTTAATGGTTTCAGATTCAGTGTTTTTAGGTGATTTAACACAGCTGTTTCGCAGAAACATCATGAGATCATATTAGCCGAGGACAGGTTCAGTGTGTGTCTGTATCTCCAGATAATAAAGATTGAAGTGATTTAATCTGAATTTAGCTTACAAATGTAACTTCCAACAAATATTTGTTGAAAGTGTGTGTGTAAATTTTAAGGGTAAATTTTTTTACTGACATTTCCCTTTTGCTCAGACCTTTTAACAGATACATGTGTAGTACTAGACATGGACACATACAGCATTTGACAGATCTCTCTTGAGACCTGAAGGAAGCCTCTTGTCAACTTTACAACTCAAAAGGGTTTTTTTTGGTGTGTTTTGTTTTGTTTTTTTGTTTGCTTTGAGTTTCCAGAAGCCATGCCTTTGAAATACATCTAGGAAAATGATACTCCTATTTCCTCTTACCAGAAGAGTTTAGAGCCTTTCTCTAAGTTATAGCTTCTCTTGTCAGAGATAAGAGAAGTTTTATTATACTCGCGAGATAAAGGCAATTACTCAGATAAACAGGTGCCTCAGTTGTCTGGTGATGAATTTGGGGTGAACTATGAAAGAGTGCACGGAAACAGTGCTGTCAAGTCCTCCCCAGGGACAGGTCACTCCATCTAGAGGACCCGTGTGCGTGTGTGTGTGTGTGTGTGTGTGTGTGCACTAGCTTGTAGCACAATAAAGGAGGCATAATTTCATCTGTCCTTGTAATCTCTTTTTTCATAGATTATCTACCATATTGTACTCTGGATTTGCTTATCCAGTAATAAAACTACCTTCTTTCTCTTTCTCTCTCTCTTTTTTTTTCTTTTTTTGGTGACAGAGTCTCAAGCTGTTGCCCTGGGTAGAGTGCCATGGCATCACAGCCCACAGCAACCTCAGACTCTTGAACTTAAGTGACTCTCTTGCCTCAGCCTCCTAAGTAGCTGGGACTACAGGCTCCTGCCACAATGCCCAGCTATTTTTTGCTTGTAGTTGTCCTTGTTGTTTGGCAAGCCCAGGTTGGATTTGAACCCGCCAGCTCCAGTGTTAGTGGCTGGAGCCCTAGCTGCTGAGCTACAGGTGCTGAGCCAAAAACTGCCTTATTTTCCTCTCTGCATTTTGAGGAGAGGACTCTGTGTTGGTAGGACTTTTATTTCCCCAACAATATCCACACACACCACACAGTTAGGTTGGAAGGGGATTTGAAAGGTGCCCCATGGAGCCTGTCTCAATGTGGCTTGCAGATAACCCCATACGTCAAGGCAAAGCAAAAACTGGAGAAAAGAAAAAGGACTTCCCTAAACACAACACAATGAGCTAGTTCTGGCAGGCAGAGATGAGGCAAAAGCATTTCTCAAAAATCTGGAGCAAGGAAGAGTGAAGCCGCAGAGGTGGGAGAAAGACGGCAGCACTCCAGGAGGTCGAGGCGGGTGGCTCGCTCCGGCGCCTCGCTCGGGCGCAGGAGTTCAAGACCAGTCGGAGCAAGAGTGAAACCTCATCTCTACTAGAAATAGGAAAACTGAGGCAAGAGGATTGCTTGAGCCCAAGGGTGTGAGGTTGCTGTGCTCTGATGCCACAGCACTCTACCCAGGGTGACAGTATGAGACTCTGTCTCAGAAAAACAAATGAGACTGAGGGTGAGCCAGGGAGGGGAGGCACAGAAGGGTCTCCAGATGACAGAGGGCTCTGAATGCATCTTAAGCTGTTCATTTTTCCCCAAAATCCATGGGACTCCCGGGATTTATTTGTTTATTCATTTACTTTATAAGTGGAGCTAGTCGGCTTGGCGCCTATAGCTCAACCGGCTAGGGCGCCAGCCACGTACACCTAAGGTGGCAGGTTCGAATCCCCAGCCCGGACCCACCAAACAACAATGACGGCTGCAACCAAAAAATAGCCGGGTGTTGTGGCGGGCGCCTGTGGTCCCAGCTACTTGGGAGGCAGAGGCAGGAGACTCGCTTGAGCCCAGGAGTTGGAGGTTGCTGTGAGCTGTAATGCCACGGCACTCTGCCCAGGGGGACAGCTTGAGGCTCCTGTCTCAAAATAAATAAATAAATAAATAAATAAGTGGAGCTAGTGACATGTAGGACATTTTCAGGGAGATTACTTCAGCATAAGGCAGAGAGCAGGTTGGATCTTCGTGCTGCCACTGTAGTCCAGCTGTAAGGACTGGGGTTAAATGACTATAAAAATGGGATGGACGTTAAATTAAGGACTTCTTTTTTTTTTTGAGACAGAGCCTCAAGCTATCCCCCCTGGTTAGAGTGCTGTGGCATCGCAGCTCACAGCAACCTCCAACTCCTGGGCTCAAGCGAGTCTCCTGCCTCAGCCACCCAAGTAGCTGGGACCACAGGCACCTGCCACAATGCCTGGCTAGTTTTTGGTTGCAGCCATCATTGTTGTTTGGCGGGCCCGGGCTGGATTTGAACCCGCCACCTTAGGTGTATGTGGCTGGCGCCTTAGCCGCTTGAGCCGCAGGCGCTGAGCCAAGTTAAGGACTTCTTATCTGTTAAATAGGTAAAAGAATTATCATAGGCAAGGTGGTCGTTTCAGACAAACAGATCAGGGAGCCTGTTGTGGGAGCAGCAGCTTCCATTCAACTCCTCCCAGCCAGGACTTCTGTGACCTGTGATGGTGTGTTACTATCCCAAGGACTCCAGGGAAAAGCCCAGTAAATAGGACAATTGAAAACCAAGTGTATCTTCTACTTAAAATCACATTAGGGTACATTTCAGCTGCCTTGTTGGTGAAGCTTCAGGAATTGCTACTGTTACTGTGAGAACAGAACTTTCAGAAACAGAGCAAAGATGCATTCGGCCATGTGTTGGAGGGGCCTCTACTACTCTCACTCCGGGTGCTTTTATATTTATTTTATCTTAAAGTAATGCTGCATTTGGGGAACCATTAGTTTGTCACCAGAAAACATTTTGCTTTACATTCTTATAAAAACTTATTGCAGGCTCAGCACCTGTGGCTCAAGTGGCTAAGGTGCCAGCCACATACACCTAAGGTGGCAGGTTCGAATCTAGCCCGGGCCCACCAAACAAAAGTGATGGCTGCAACCAAAAAAATAGCTGGGCATTGTGACAGGCACCTGTGGTCCCAGCTACTTGGGAAGTAGAGGCAGGAGACTCACTTGAGCCCAGGAGTTGGAGGTTGCTTTGAGCTGTGATGCCACAGCACTCTACCCAGGGTGACAGCTTGAGGCTCTGTCTCAAAAAAAAAAAAAGTACTGCACTTTACTAAATTTTATGTATTCAGGATCAGTAATTTTTTCTAGCTTTATCTCAGCTTTTGAAATAAAAATCAGAGAAAAGTTAAGAGTCACTTAACAAAACTGTCTTTACAATGAACTGCAAGAGTACACTTACTCGGGTGAGGGAGGTGTAATCGTGTTCCGGTCCTACCTGGGTGCCCGTGGAACATCACACCAGTGAGAAGCAAGATAATTATAGTAAATGCAGAAAATAACGTTTTTTCTGGCTAGCTCTAGGTGACTGACTAAAAACCACATTAAGCACTGACATCAGTAAAACTGTGTAGAAAGCTTAAGATAACTTCACAACTACTGTATTTAGCCTGTGCTTAAGGTGCACGTATTAGTGGCTCTCCATTTTTTTCCATGGTACTAGTTTGCATTTTGTTTTCCAGTGAGAAGTGAGATCTGTTCTGAATAAGGTGACTCTGAGCCTGTACCTTTGATTCTGTGTTTTCTCGCAGCTGCTAGGTGAACTGATCCTGGACCGCCACAACTTCGCCGTCATGACCAAGTACATCAGCAAGCCGGAGAACCTGAAGCTGATGATGAACCTCCTTCGGGACAAGAGTCCCAACATCCAGTTTGAAGCCTTTCACGTTTTTAAGGTAAAATGCAAGCTATGGAATAACATTATAGGTGTTTTTTCCAGCTTCAAATGGAAGACTCTGCTTTTTACTGTTTTATGCTTTAAAAAAAATGAAATTAGGCAGTGCTGTTTTGCGTGATGTAGATGAAATTTTGTTTGAGACAGAGTCTCACTTTGTTGCCCTGGGTAGGCTGCTGTGGCATCACAGCTTACAGCAACCTCAAACTCCTGGGTTCAAGTGATCCTCCTGCCTTAGCCTCACAAGTAGCTGGGACTACAGGTGCCCACCACAACACCCAGCTATTTTTAGAGATGGGGGTCTCACTCTCGCTCAGGCTGGTCTCGAACTCCTGAGGTCAAGCAAGCCACCTGCCTTGGCCGCCCAGAGTGCTGGGATTACAGGTGTGAACCACTGAGCCCGGCCTATCTTTTTTTTTTTTTTGAACTATGTCCCAGGCTTCTTTGAGAACAAAGTGATGAGTGACTTGGGGATTAGAACCAAGAACATCACTGAACTTCACCTTCACTCCAACCAGCCCCTTCAGAACCCCCTGTGCCTACTTTGTGTGATCTCAGTTCCTTCTTTAGTGAGTGAAGAATTTAATTTTTTTTTTTAATTTCAGGTTAATGTGAGGGTATAAACAACCAAGTCACAGTATTTTAATTTGTTGGATAGACTCCCTCTTATAGTTGTGTCCTGAACCCAAAGGGTGCCACACACCCCTACATTGTGCCCATTCAGTGAGAGCACCCCAAGCCCTCCCTCCTCACTCCCCCCTCCCTCATTCCCCTTCCTCCCAACTTGAATTGAAATGAGTTTTTCTCCTATGTGGGAGTGAATTAGATCGTCTGCTGGCTTCATGTTAGAACGGACTACATCGGATACTTCTTTATTTGGGTGATACTTTACTGAGAAGAATATGTTTCAACTCTATGCAGGTTAATACAAAAGATGTAAAGTCTCTATCTTTTTATGGCTGAATAGTATTCCATGGTGTGCATATACCATGATTTGTTAATCCATTCCTGGGTTGATGGGCATTTAGGTTGTTTCCACATCTTGGCGATTATAGATTGAGCTGTGATAAACAATCTAGTACAGATGTCCTTATGATAAAAGGATTATTTTCTTCTGGGTAGATGGGTAGTAGTGGGATTGATTGGAGAGTCAAATGGGAGATCTAATTTGAGTTCTTCGAGGATTCTCCGTACTTCTTTCCAAAGAAGCTGTATGAGGTGAAGAATTTAATTTCAAGAACCCTGCTGCAAACTCTAGGCTCTCCTTCCCTGCTTCGCACCATGCCCCATTCCCTGCCCCCACTTCCCAGAAGGACAGGCACATGGGCAAGCCCAGAGTACTGACAGGGAGAGGGAAGGGCTCTCCCCTCTGGGAGAGAAACCCAGGAGGCTATGTGGTGCAGTGAGGGCTCCCATAGCCCGAGAGGACACCGATCCCTGAGAAGGGAGAGCCAGCAGTCTCAGAGCCTGCTAATTGTCAGCAGTCATTGCCTGGTTCTTGCCCTGCTCACTGCTACGACCACACTCAGACCACAACCTCCCAGAGCCCAGCTGCTGGGCCGGGTGGCAGACTGCTGCCGTGTGGGTTCCAGTCCCTGCAGGGACACCGTCTCCAGGTTGCCCCCACTCAGTTCCCAGTGCTCCGTCTCTTTCTCTTTGGGGCTGCAGGAGGTCTCTGCTCTACACACCTACCAGAGGCCCTCTACCTGCTCTGCGGCAAGGCCTCAGTTTACACATGTCTTTGAAACTGGGCTGCAGAGCCTACGAGTGACAGGTGGTCATGTGGCTGAACGCCCTCCCACAGAGCACCCCCAGGACGGGCCCCACAGCGGCCTGGCTTGGCAATTGCTAGAGTTCTTCCTGCAAAGCTCTGATGTCCTCACTCTGCTCAGGGTTTTTGCTTGGTCTTGCTTCTCTGGCTTCATGGCACCAGCAGGGGCAGAGCAGGGCTTTGGGGAGCCCCCTCACAGTTGCCTTCTGTCCTGACTCCTGCCTCACCCTCAGACTGAGAGGTCTTCAGGCCACCTTGGGGCACTAGGCCCACTCCAACCTGAGGTCCACAGCACCATCCCTCCACAGAAATCATGCTGCAGGGGAATGGGAAATCCCCACACCCCAGAGCCTGGTCCAAGCCCTGGCCCAACTCCTGGCCCTCTGAGAAGGCCTTGGAAGCCTGGTGAGGTCAGAAGGTCAACTCAGACTATGTCCCTCCCTCCTAGCCCATTGCCTCCACCTCCTGGTAGGAATAAGAAGGTGAAATTCAAAGCGAGAGGGGAAGGAAGGTACCCCCCCCCCCAAACAGGGGCCTGGTAGAAACCGAATTAACTTAATGAGTAGCCATTTGTTTCTAAAAGTTTTGCTAACTTATCTGCACCTACCTCTAAATATTTTCACTTTTTTTCCTGAGAAAATGTGTGATGCTATTCAGAAGTTACAAAACAATCAGTGATTGAGCTAGACCTAAACCCCTGAATTCAACCTCTAAATGCTGTGCTTTCCACAGCATCATTTCTTTGGACCCTAAATGGGGTCCTGAACAAACACCCAGGTACTACTCACTTTATTAATGTTTTAGAATATATATTTTTCAAAATATATATATATATTGAGACAGAGCCTCAAGCTGTCACCCTGGGTAGAGTGCTGTGGCATCACAGCTCACAGCAACCTCCAACTCCTGGGCTTACGCGATTCTCTTGCCTCAGCCTCCCAAGTAGCTGGGACTTCAGGCGCCCTCCACAATACCCAGCTATTTTTTGGTTGTAGTGTCACTGTTGTTTGACAGGCCTGGGCTGGATTCAAACCCGCTTGAGCTACAGTACCAAGCCATAGAATATTATTTTTTGCAATGCATTTTGTTATGATAGAAAATTAGCCCCATAATATGTTTTTTCTTTCTAATATTTTTTCTTTGATTTAAGAGTATTAAAATCACCTCCCACCATACATTTTTATTTTTATTCTATTTATTTATTTATTGTTTGGGATTCATTCTTTGAGGGTACAAAGAATTAGGTTATACTGATTACATTTGTAAAGATAAAGTCCCTCTTTTTATTTTTATTTTATTTATTTTTGAGACAGAGTCTTATTCTGTCACCCTCAATAGAGTGCTATGAGGTCATAGCTCACAGCAACCTCAAACTCTTGGGCTCAAGTGATTCACTTGCCTCAGCCTCCCAAGTAGCTGGGACTACAGGCACCCTGCACAGTGCCCAGCTATTTTTAGAGACAGTGTCCCACTCTTGCTCAGGTTGGTCTCAAACTCCTCAGCTCTAGCAGTCCACCTGGGGTGGCCTCCCCACCACAGTACCTTTTTATAAATGTGGGTAGGTGGGAGAATTCTGTCTATTGCTCCATACCCACAACCTATTATAAACAATTTAGCACATTTTATTTTCCTGTCCACATAATTGAGAGGTTTTTTTTGTTTTTTGTTTTTTTTGAGACAGAGTCTGTCACCCTGGGTAGAGTGCCATGGCGACATCATAGCTCACAGCAACCTCCAACTCTTGGGCACAAGCAATCCTTTTGCCTTAGTTTTTTGTATGTTTAGTAGAGATGGGGTCTTGCTCTGGCTCAGGCTGGTCTCAAAACCGTGAGCTCAAGCAGTCCACCCTCCTGTGCCTCCCAGGGTACTCGGATTATAGACATGAGCCCCCACTCCCGGCCATATTGAGGGGTTTTCCGCAGCTATGTTCACATTCTACAAATAATTGATATTCCTATTTTATCATTTGATGCTATATGATAAGTTGCTATATATAGCTTATATATGCTATATATAGCATATAGCTTATATGCTACATATAGCATCGTTGCTATATATAGCTTTTACAGCTAGTAGTTTTATCAGTACCATAGTTTATTTGTTATATTAATGCTGATTTATTTAAGTGGTCCTGTGTCATTGATATTTAGGTGATTTCTACTTTTCCTACTGCAAGTAATGCTGCAATGGGTATTTTATGCATCCAGCTACTTTTTTCAATATTTAGGATTTTTTTTTCTTTTCTTTTGTCTTTCTTATTTTTTTTTTTTTAAGGCAGGGTCTTGCTTCCTTGCCCAGGCTAGAGTGTGTCAGCCTAGCTCACAGGAACCTCAAACTCCTGGGCTTAAATGATCCTTCTGCCTCAGCCTCCCAAGGAGCTGGAGCTACAGGCATGTGCCACCACACTCAGCTAATTTTTCTGTGTTTTATAGAGACAAGGTCTCACTGTGTTGCTTAGACTGGTCTCAAAGTCCTAGCCTCAAACAATCTTGGTCTTCTGAAGTGCTGGAATTAAAGGCATACGCCACTGCACCCAGCCATGATTATTTTCTTACAATGAATATCTAGAGTAGATATAAGCATTCAGAGAGTTTCAGGAGTTTTGGGTCTTTATGATGTATGTTCAATGATCAATTTTATAAGTCTGTAAAGCAGTGTATAAGGTAATTGCTGCTTGGTAAGGCAAGAAAATTTTAGGTGATCTTTTAGCTTCCAGATATTTATTATCTAAAAAACACCTAGAACAGTTAAAATCCTAAATTAATTTATAAATTTCATTCAGTTTTTTTTTTTTTTTTTTGAGACATAGTCTCACTTTGTCCCCCTGGATGTAGCATCATCAGCTATGATGCTGTAGCATCATAGCTCACAGCAACCTCAAACTCTTGGGCTTAAGCAATTCTCTTGCCTCAGCCTCCCAAGTAGC